CATGAAATCACTGGTCTTTGTGATTTGTATGTTAGTATCTGGCCTTGCCCCTGACTTTTGGTTTTTATGTGAAGTAACTGTTTCATCATTCACTCACTATATCTATGCCTACCTCATGAATACAAACATGATTGTAGCTTTTGTACATCGTAAATCATAGCAGGAGAAATAGCCATCAAACAAGTCAGTTATGCTCTATCTTAAAAATATAATACTAAGTATTGTGCAGGAAAAGTTGTCCATGCTGGAAGAATGTATGGTCTGCAAGCCTTACCTAGTTTGGTGAGTGGGCAGAGATGGGTAGTGCTCAAAGTTCCTTCAAGAAATAACAGTAAAAGCTAAGATTCGGGAATGAGTAGGAGGTCAATATGGAAAGTAGATTAAAAAGTATTCCAGGCAAAGATAACAGCATGTACAGCAAGTTGGGAACGTCTGACCTACAGGCCGTATTTTGTTGTTAAGACCTGTAATACCATTTGGTTTGGCCCTACCAAGGTAACCGCAGTTCCAGCCATCACGTTGTTGTTAAGTACCATTGACTTGGTTCTGACCCACAGCAACTTTGTATAGAGTTTCTGAGGAGCAGCTGAGGAGTTTGAACTGCCAGACTTGTGGTTCAAACCAACTTTGCACTTCAGCGCATTAACCCACAGCACCAAACCAGGACTCCAGCCATCATGTTGTTGTTGTTAAGTGCCGTCAAGTCAGTTCCGACCCATAGCGACCCTGTATAGGGTTTCCAAGGAGTGACTGGTGAGCTTGAATTGTCAACCTTGCAGTTCAAATGGCTTTGCAGTCTGGCGCATTAACCCACAGCGCCACACCAGGACTCCTAGCCATCACATTAGAGGTGATTTAATTAAATCTTTGACCAAGTTTGTCGTTAAGTTCCATTGAATCAGTTCCAACCTAAAATGACCCAGTATAGGGTTTCCGAGGAGCAGCTGGGGGGATTGAACCACTGACCTTGCAGTTCAAACTGACCTTTAGGTCTAGCACATTATCCTGCAGCATCACACCAGGACTCCATTGACCATATAGCAGGCTAATTTTTTTTTTAATGTTTTATTGTGAATTATATGATAGTTTACATGAGAGAACTTTAGTTTTACATTCATTCTATCGTATATTGTTTCATTGCCATGGTTCCAATCCCCTCCATGCATCATCAACCGACCAAAGGGTATACCCTACAAACCCGCCCCCTACCCTCCCCCC